TCTCCCAAGGTTTATTCTCCATTCTGTCAGCGATGGGGTTCTGGTTCCTCTGGCTTGTTGCTTTGACACAATCTGTATTGTTAAAAGCGCTATATAAATAAAGGTGACTTGACAAGAAACTCATGGAAAAAGCCATTGATTTTTCATGCATTGCTCAATTTTGAGACGTTTTGTTTTTTTTCTGTCTATATTTTGAAGGTTTCTTAGAATACAATTTCCCTAATTTATATAACATAACATTATCAAACCTTTAACTCTAATATGACAACAAAATCAAACCAGAATTTTGAAACTGCTTTAATGTTCAGATTCATCGTCTGGTAATGTATGTAAATGAGTGCATGTTTAATTACATGATGCCTAATTTGCATATTTAAATATACAATTTTAGAAAAGTTGTAATACAAAACTATTATCTTAATACACTGTGATTAATCAACTGAGGAAAGTTCTACCATATTCACCCACGGTGTCTTAATTTTGGTTAGTTAGGAACTGATATTTTTTTAAATATCGTTTTCTATATATATTTTTGAACTAATTTTGATTTCAGTTTTAGCTATTTTACAAGTTAAACTACATAAAAATAAGGAACGCTGCCTTGGCAACTAGGCAACTAGCTTTGGCTATATTCATGGCAAAAGCAAAGCAAAAACAACTTATAATTGCAATATCTTTCTGATACATTGTTACATTGTTAATAACAATTTTGTCTTAAACAATTATTCAGATGAAATAAAATGAGTTTAAGTTTTTTTTAGATTTTATTTAATTTCAGTTAAAGTTTATTTTGATTGATTAAAGTTTATTTAGATCAAGCCATTAGACTTTTAGGCCTGGTTTCACAGACAGGGCCTAGACTAAGCCAGGATTAGGCCATAGTTCAATTAGGACATTTAGGTAATGTTTATAAACGTGCCTTAGGAAAAACACACCACTGGTGTCCCTCTTGAGAAAATACATTTAAGTCTGGGAGTAGGCTTAAGCCCTGTCTGTGAAACCGGAGGTTAAACAGATAGCCAGTGGACACAGACTAGTCTCATCTGTCTCATAGAATAGTTGGACTGAAATGCTACAGCTCAATTTGCACATTTGTTAATGTTATTACTATCATGTAGTTGCACTCATGTTGCTACATTACTGTACTACTGTTTTGCACATAAGTCAATATTGCACACTTGCACATACAGATGTACAGTCTATATTTCTACTTCTGCAGCATAGTTTTACTTTTATTATGTGTGTGTGTGTATTTTTTACCGCCAGATCGGATGGTGAAGTCACGTCTGGAGAGGCATAAACGACTATGAATCAGTGTGAGACGACTCTCTGAGCTCCGTCTGAGCCGAGTCTGATACCTGTCTCTGTGCAGAACAAAACATCTTCATCACTCGGCTCGTCTTCAGCACTGTCGGGTCTACTGGAACATAATGAGACAGCTGTGCATTCACTGCAGTTAATATTAATATGAACTAGATTGAAAAGTTTGTAGACAAACTTTAAGTTGGCTTGAAAAAGCCTAGCCAGAAAGTTTTTTTTTTAAAGTTTGCAGTCTGAAGGTCTTCAGGTCGAAGTAGTTTGAAATTTAAAATAGTTTAAAAGATTAAAGTTTGAATGTTTTCAAGGCAATACAGTCTATCAGAAAAATAGATAGGAATAAAACATATTGCTAGGGTACCTGGAGTGGTTGCTAGGGTGTTTCTAGCATGAATAGCATGTTGATAACATGTTTCTAGCACGATTAGCATGATACTAGAATAATTGTAGCATGATTAGCATGTTGCTATCCTGTTTCTAGCACGAATAGCATGTTGCTAGGATGTTTGCTAGCACAATTAGCATGTTGCTAGCATGATTAGCATGTTACTAGCATGATTATCATGTTACTAGCATTGTTTCTAGCACGATTACCATGTTGCTAGTATGTTGCTAGCACGATTAGCATGTTACTAGCATGTTTGTAGCATGATTAACAAGTTACTAGCCGGTTTCTAGCACGATTAGCATGTTTGCTAGCATGATTAGCATGCTACTAGCAGGTTTCTAGCACAATTAGCCTGTTGTTATCATGATTAGCATGTTGTTTGCATGTATCTACCATTATTAGCATGCTGCTAGTATATTTTAAGGTGATTTACATTTACATTTAGCAAATGTTTTTATCCAAAGGGACTTACACAATAAATACAAAGAAAACAGATAGAATGGAAAAGAATAGAGCAAGCTAATTTTAGAGGCCTTTTTTGCTTTTGTTAATTGTATAATAAATAAAAAGGAAACAAATTGATAGAATACAAAAAGATTAGATAAGCTAGTGATAGGTTTTTATTTATATTTTTTAATTGAGAGATAACTTCTCAGGAAATGTCAGTTTTAGGCTTACGATCAGGATTAGGCGCTTCTACACCTTGTTAATCAGCTATCCTTTCCCTCTGATTTTAGGAATAAATTATGGGTAGGGTTAGGTTTAGGGGTAGGGACTGGGTTAAGTGCAGCGTCACACATCAAACACAGGTGAGATCTGTGAGAACGTCATCGTTACACTCACCTGCTCCTCCATCATCAGCCCACGCGTCTGAACCTGCTGAGACACGCTATTTCAGGCTCATTTCTAAGGCAAGAGACTACAGACAAAAACTGTAGTCAAAAAAGTTTCATTCACTGATCCATTTCGGTCCATTTAGTGTCATAACGTCAGACTAGAGGAAAGAAAACATGCAGAATACACATTTAAGTGTTTATTTTATTGCACTTGATCGGTTTGCTTCTGTACACTGTAAAACATTGCCGTGAATTTAACGGTAAAAGACTGTAAAAATGCTACAGTAAAAACCTGTTAAATGGTTAACGGTAAATTCCTCTACTATACACGGTGAAAAACTGTATTGGACATTACATGTAATTTTACGGTAGTATACCATTTGTGGAAGTAAAAAAGACTGTATAATTTACAGTGAATAACCGTAAACTGACATTTCCAGAATTCCCTGCATTACATTTCATATTTGATGTGTTTTGTTGAAATAACGATGTTTCTTCTTAGTTTTTTCTTATCAGTTGTGTATATCAGGGTTGTGTGTTACACCTAATGTTGTTAAATTAATGTTTATTGCATTATTTCAGTTTCATGTGTGTTACCGTGATGGTGTTTAGTGTTTGTGTGAATGATGCTGTGCACCTTCTATATATGTTATTATTTAAAAGCTGCTTGTGATGGGCTTTGGTTCATCATGTGACTTTCTCATCACCTCCTGCATTTGGAGGTTATCAGTGTATTACAAAGCTACAAAACAGATTTCAGTACTTCAATAGGTTGGTATATTAACATTATATCAGTTAATGAAATTACGGTATTTAACTGTAAATTTAAGTTAAAACCGTAAAACCTAAAATGTTGCTACCGTATTTTTTACGGTAAAATTCTGGCAACCACAGCTGCCATTTTTTTTTACCGTAAATTAAAAAAAAAAAAATTCAGTGTAGATGTCAGTCTTTAAGGGCAGATACTGTTTTTCATGCACCTGTCAGGTTTGAGATTTTGGGCTTTTCATAGTGCAAGTGTTTTTTCAGACTAGTGGAAAGAAAACATCCAAAAGACTGTTAAGTGTTTATTTTATAGCACTTTATCTATTTGTGTCAATAGATTTCAATTGCAATACATGTTTTTAAAAGCGGTTTTCTCAAAGTGAGTTTTTTCTCCTACACTGAGCCATGAATCTGCTCTTCAGCAGCATTTACACACACCACACTTTACAGTTTTATTCCTGTCTGTATCCTGAAGGTTTTTACAGAGGGATTTGTTCATATGTAATTTGCTTGATTATACACATTTTACTCCCCAATAATTGAAACAGTATAAAATAAAAAAGACAGTACACAGAATCTCTTGGATTACAATTTGCAACTAGACGGATGCACGGTTACCTCCTCTACAGTCAAAAATCTGGGTGTTATATTAGATAGCAACTTGTCTTTTGAAAATCATATTTCCCATGTTACAAAAACAGCATTCTTCCATCTTAGAAACATTGCCAAGTTACGAAACATGATACCTGTTTCTGATGCAGAAAAGCTAGTTCATGCATTCATGACCTCTAGACTGGACTATTGTAATGCACTGCTAGCTGGTTGTCCTGCATCTTCAATAAACAAGCTACAGATAGTCAAAAATGCAGCGGCTAGAGTCCTTACCAGGTCAAGAAAATATGATCATATTACCCCAATTTTACAGTCTCTGCACTGGCTACCTATTAAGTTCCATACCAGTTACAAAATATTATTACTTGCCTATAAGGCCATTAATGGGTTAGCTCCTGCGTACCTAACTAGTCTTCTACCACGCTACAATCCATCACGCTCCCTAAGGTCGCAAAACTCTGGACTTTTGGTAGTACCTAGGATAGCAAAGTCCACTAAAGGAGGTAGAGCTTTTTCGCATTTGGCTCCCAAACTCTGGAATAGCCTTCCTGATAACGTTCGGGGTTCAGACACACTCTCTCTGTTTAAATCTAGATTAAAGACACATCTCTTTAGCCAAGCATCCGAATAATGCATCTCATAATCTTTTACTGCAGTTATATCTGATCAAATGCACATTATCTTTTTTTGCTTGGTTGGAACAGCAGCTAAGCTAATTATGTCTCTATGTGTTTCTCTGTTTCTGCTGGGATTAACATCCCGTGGTAACTAGGATTTACACAAGCTTCAGTCTGGATCCAGAACACCTGAGAAGAGATGATGCAACTCCTCAGAGGACCTCAGATGATGCCAACCCTGAAACAACATACAGAACTACCACATTTTGCTATAAGTTTGATTACATCATATAATAATTGCTGTTCATCGTCTGTTTGAATACATCTTTAATTGATTTTTCAGTACATTTCTGCCATCTGTACATTAACTGACAGTCACCACTGATAAGCTGCTACTAAATATATTGTAGAAACTTAATTTTCTGTAAAGTTGCTTTGCAACGATTTGTATCGTGAAAAGCACTATACAAATAAACTTGAATTGAAGGTCAGCTGAAAGCAGGTGGTTTCACAATCGCACGGGTGAGAACAAACAACACCTTTATGTCATCAGTGGTGATTGACAATGAAGGGAGGCGTATCAGAGGAGAATTACAGACAGTAAGTTCATCTGCATGAGCCATTCTGTCTTTCAATCATATTCGAGAACAGATTAAGGCCTGCTGCCAAACGTGGAGCAAGCAGCACCGAAGGTCCAAAATGCTTTCTCCTTACTCTGATTAAAACCTGCATTTAGAGGTCCTGCTGTAGCAGGTTGGTTGGGAGAACTACCAAAACCAAACGTAAATCCCGTTGCAAAAGTGCTTTTGCTTTTCATATTTGGGTTTGACGTCTGGCAGGAGACACAATAGCTAGACATGCCTTCATTTTTCACCAGGCAGACTTCACAGTCCCAATCCCCATCTTTTTTGGCAAAATCTATAAACAATGATGAGACAGGGGCATCGGCTTTAGGAGGCACTGAGGAGGAAAGCAAATGAGATGTTAATAATGTTAATAATGGGAGTAACTTTTGTTAAACCGTAAACAATCAGCACAGGTTCACACTGAACACAATAATAACCATTTTCAAAAAATGGGTATGAGGTGACATTATTCAACTCACACTTAAACCATCGAATTTTAAACATCAAATATTTTGCAGTTGAAAACTGTAATGTTATAGACATTGTAATGTATCCCAATGTGTTATTGCAATACTCATCCTATTGCAAAATGCTTAAAATTCAATAATATTGTTGCTGAAGTAGCATGATAACATCAAACTGGTGATTCCCACTCCTAATATTAGTTATGTTAAGTATACAGTATATTAAGTATACATTAAGTACCAAACCTAGTCTTATGTCGCTGAAGTAGCATGATAACATCAAACTGGTGATTCCCACTCCTAATATTAGTTAAGTATACAGTATATTAAGTATACATTAAGTACCAAACCTAGTCTTATGTAGATGAGATATGGGAATAGAAAGTTTAATAAAGTCTTCTCACCATCTCCAGATTTGATCTTAATCTCCGTCTCTTTGTTGACATCCAGCAAACGCTCTTGCATTTCAGAAAGCAGCAGCTCCACATTACCAAAAAATGCTTTAGGATTTTCAGAAATGTTGGAAAGATCTTCAAATTCTTCAGACATGCATTCTGGGTAATTCTGCACACAGAATACAAATAATGTACACTGAAGAAAATAAATATGATATCAAAAGAGTTCAAAAAGATGCCGAAACATAAATATAGTCAAGTGGTTTCCTCATCAATAAATTGTTCTTCAAAACTAATGAACTGTTTTGTTTTTTTTTAAATAAGAGTTTTGATAAAGCCATCTGTTGATCATCATCAGATGAGTTTGTGTGCTGTACCTGCAGAAAGTGAATGTGGTCTTCAGTGGACAAGAACTGATCGAGCTCAGACACCTTCATCCTGAGGTCAGAGATCTTCTGCTGGACTTTCTCCTGAAGTCCTTCAATGCGACTGAGTTCATCTCTCTGTCGCTCTGCGATCAGCTCTTTCACGCGGACGCTTGTTTTCTGAACAGAGCACAGCACTTCACTGAAGATCCGCTCGCTTTCAGAGACAGCCGTCTGCGCTGAACACTGTTCCACAGCAAGAACATCCACAAACAACACTCTTCAACTAACACATCATTGCTTCTCATAGACTCACAAATGCTTCTCAGATGTTTCTTCTGAAACAGATGTCTCCTGAGGAGATGAAAGGAGCCGTGCAATCAATACTCACTGTGACGGACTCCTCTGCCTGCTTTAGCTCTTTGAAATCCTTCTCTCTGTCTCGAATGTTCTGCAGAAACTTCTCACGTGTTTCCATTAACTTCGTCTGGCCACAGAATATAGCAAATAAAACTTGTAAGACATGTATGACAGAATTTTCCATTTTTGGTGAACTATCCCTTTAACACTGAACATTCTCAGAACATTCTGGAAAGGTTCTCTCAAAGTTAAAAATTGTTCCAGTAAAGTTAATAGAAAGTTACCCGGCCTTTTATAATGTTCTCAAAACATTAGCACAAAAACATTATTTAAACATTGCTCAGGCAACGTCAACATTTTATTTAGATGTTCATCATATTTTTCCAAAAGTTACTACATTGTTTACAGTACAATTAAAAGTAATGCAATCTGATCTTTATGTTAACAAAACGTTAGCACAAAAACATTGTTTATGGAACGTTTTTCTGAAACATTTGAGTTCGGCTTTCATCTCATGTTCTTTAAAAGTTACTAAGTAATTACTATTTATTTCAGAATGTTCAGAGAACATTAGGTAACGTTCCCATAATGTTTGCAAATGTATATACAACTGAACAGTCACTTAATGTTTTTCTAACATTCACATAAAAATACGTTTTAAAAAATGCACATTTTGAACGTTCTGAGAAAATAACGTTTTCGTGACATTTTTGTCCAGTCCGGTCTCATGAAAATGTGTATAAATAGTACGCCAAATAAAAACATAAAATCGTGGTATTGATATGCAAAAATTGACTTTAGCGTGCATATGACACGCACATGTTTGGCGTGCATGTAATACGCAGCTTCCGCGTGCATATGATACGCATCTACCCCACAAACCTAATTCTACCCATTTTGTATCATATGCACGCCAAAGTCAATTTCTGCGTGTAAACAGTACGCCAAATCGAAACAAACTCGTGCAATTGATATGCACTTTCATGAGATCGGGTTGGATTGTCAGTTAGTGAGGATCTACCTGTCTGTCTGCTCTTTCCTCAGAAGCGGAGACGGTGTCGTGGTTCTTGTGTTCATGTATAGCACACAGCAGACAGACACACTTCTGATCAGTGCGACAGAAGACATCCATCAGTTTCTCATGAAGAGAGCAGGTTTTGCTCTGAAGATCCGTGGCTTCGGTCAGCAGGTGTTTCTTCCATCCGTGGAGATCATTGTGCTTCTCCAGGTGACTTCTGCAGAATGAGGACACACAGGTGAGGCAGGATTGCACAGCTTTGGTTCTTCTGGAGGTGCAGGAATCACAGCTGACTCCATGTGCTTCAGCATCTTCATCATCCTCCTCCTTTGCTCTCATCTTCATCAGTTTCTCAGAAAGCTCCTTCATCTGCAGCCAGTCAGTGACAACAGGTTTGTTTGCACTGAGGACATCTGCGCACGTCTTTATCCCACAAACCTGTAATGCAGTCCTTACAGAAAATGTGCCCACAGGGAATAATCGCTGGATTTTTAAAGAAATCCAGACAGACGCAACACGTGAGATCGTCGCGATCATCCGCCATATTTTGGATTGGAACACATGTGTTCTGACGAAGTCTTCCCTCTGTGACAGAACAGAAACTAAACTCTAAGTTTCGTTTGTTTGGAAACAGTGACTCTATGGAGTCAAATCAATGCCACATACACTTGCAAAAGAATTGAAGTATTGCAAAAGAAGAAAATTTAATAAACAGAGCAAAAGCAATGATTTTGCTACACATATTTTCCATGGCCACAGCTACTAATTTATTAGCAACACTGCGTTTCAGTCAAGTGTGAGCTCGCGATACCGGTTTTCCCTTCGCGCTTCACGTTTCTGCGCGTTTCACTTTCTGGCATTGTTTTGACTCCATACAGTGACTCTGCTACAGGAGTGGCTTGCTTTAGAACTCTGTTTTTCTTTCATTTCCACTCTGTGGACTGTCAATCTCTATAATACGGTTGGGAAACAAATCTATTTTCCCCATGACAAGCGAATATTTGAAGAATAACCAACGCGAAATAACGTTCTGGTACGAAAGCGTCCGGTGACGCACGTTATTTCAAGTAAATGTTCAGTTTCCAAAAATATTCCATATAGACGAAACTAGAACACAACATTTGGATATTTATATAGGTTACAAAAACGTTTCTTACAACATTCTACTAAATATACCCAATATATAATGTTATTTTAACGTTTAGTTTTAATATTCTAAGAACATTAAAATCTGCAGTTTTCTTGTCATGATTATAACGCCATTCAAAGGTTACAAAAACGTTTCTTAGAAAGTCCATTAAGTACAAATAACATTATAAGGACATATTGAGAATTTTGATCTAAGAACGGTTTCTCTCAACGTTATGAGAATGTATATCAAATATTAATAAAGTTATAAGAACGTTCCATAAAAAAATATTTTAAGAATGTTATGTCCTAATATTTATAACTATTATAAATGTTAGCTGCGGCAGTATCGTGTGTTTCCAGTAGATGGACGCATTGTCTTGCAGTTTATTGTAAATAAAAAAGCCCCCAAAATGCCTTCGTTAAATGAAGTTAATATATGTTTGTCATGTCCTTTAATTTTAGTATAAATGTAGTTGGTGTCCCCTTATTTGGATTTACGGTGTTATCTGAAAGTCCGTTTTGGCGGAATGTTATCTGAAAAACAAGAGCTAAGTTTGAAGTTTATGTGAAGTTTATTGAAAAGTCTATCGAGTCTATGGAAAACCCCAAAAAGAAAGCTTTATACATACAAAACAAACATAACAACAACAAAAAATCTTTGTCACTGTGCAAAACATTTCTAAGAGGTTTTTTTTTTGCAGATAGTAGTGTTTACATTATTAATACAAAGAAAAATAAATATAAGTGTTTATGACTTTAGCATGTCAAAGCTCTTATCTTCAGACCTCCTTCAATAGCTAGATTTTAATCTCATTCTGTCTTGCACAGTGTTATCATTGTTCAAACATTAATATTAAGGTTTTCAGTTGTCAGCGTGACCTCTGAAACAGTTATTAGACAGAAACAGCTTTACTTTTCCGATCGCTGCATGAACTCTGACATGCGACACTGACAGTCTGTTAAGGTTTTTGAGAAGGAATCTGCCAGATCCGGAGTCTTAAACTTGGCAGCAAACTGCTGAACTACAGCATCTCCATCTGTGGGAAATATGAGCACAATATGAGTAACTTAACTGACAAACAAGATGTAAATCTGTGGAGGTTTTGCAGTTTCCACCTGAGTAGTCTTCTGCTGTCCAGGACCGTGCGTTTGCATTGCTCATAGGTTTAGGGTGAGTGGTTCTGGTAATGCAGTGGTTGACAAGCACCTTTTTATCCCCCTCTTGACACATGAACACACGGTAGCGCTTATTCACGGGATGGAAAAGCATCTTAATGTCTCCTGCACCACAGGATTTCCGCTTGTTAATATCACAGTCCCAGAGGAAAAGTTTGGTCCATTCGTTGAACAAAATCTCCTCTTCATTCTCCTCAACCGATGGAAGTTCCACCTTGACAGAAGCAATGACATGATGAAAATATAAAAGGAAAATTAAGAAAAACTAAATGTTGGTTTGATAGAGTTTCGAGGTTAGTTCAAAGAGTGATAAGGGATCTGTGGAAAAGTTTAGAGAAAAACAGTCTAAAAAAATGTAAAAATAAATAATATTTCAATATGTTACAGAGAAACAATTACCCAAAAACAATGTATGACTTCTACAACATTTCAAGAATTGTCAATGCACTTTTACACAGACAAATATAAAAGGCTGCTTCTAGCAGGGAAGTGATTGGATATCTACATGGTTAACTTCTTCATCATCATCATCATCATCATTGTTCTCTTCCTCTTCGTGATTTTGTGTCTCTGTTGCAGCTCCAGCATCTATAAAAATAAACATAAAGGTAAAGATATCCATAACAGCATTATTAGCAGTATTAAGGCAAACCGGAGCATGTTATTTCTCTCACTGTCTTTAAACCAATCTCAGTAAAAACAAGCAATTAATTAATCTCAGTGCAACCTACCATGACCATCGACTGCATCAGGATACAACTTTCCTTTCAGAGATCTGACAGCCGCTTCAAAATCTTCATCTACGTGAGAGAATCACAGCTTAGAGGTAAACACGGCTCTGCAGAGCAATCGTGATTTGAGCTGTGGTGCATAAAGAGCCAAGAAACCAGAAGACAGTGTGTTTCTGTTGGGTATCGTTTGAATTTGATCAATTCCGATTCTTATCGATTCGCAGTTTCGATTCCAATGTGGTTAAGAAAATGAAAATGTCAAACATTTAGATATCAAACCTATTTATTCTGTGTCTCTTTTCGCAAAACATTTAATTGCTGCTGAATACCATGAACAAAAATCAGCCACTTACATAAAAACTCGATTAAGAGCTGCACGATTCTGGATAAATTGAGACTTTTTTGTTAAATGGAGGTTGTAGTTCTCACAATTCTGAAGAAAAAACAGACAAGTTAACAAAATCTCATGGGATTTATGAATGGGATGATTCAATGACTCACTACTTCTTGTTTCTATCTACTTGTTTCATTACTGGATGAATCAGTGTTTTTGAATGAATCTCTTGAATGAATGATTCAAAGACAAATACATTTTTAACAGCCCCTTTTCACCACCTAAAAAAAAAAAGATGTGCACACAGGAATTCATATATAAGTGGAATTGAAATTTTAATTTTACAATGAGTATCCGATTTCTAACCTTGAGTAACCGATTCTAGAATTGGAATTGATTTTCGATTCCCAACCCTATGTGTTTCCATGTGCTAGTTAACGTTTAGCTTCCGCAGACAGTATTTATGTTTTTTTCCCAAGTAATCTAAATAGTGTGCTTTACATGGTAACATCTAAACTGACTGGTTTCATGCAAGTCAGAAATGTAATTTAATTTGATTATATCAACCTGACAAATGAAAAAAACAGAAGTATTTTTTGTAGGTTAGATCAGCTAAATAGACCCTTCATATTTCTCACCATCATCATCCTCATCACTTGCGTATCCCGGCTCGTTTCTGTAGCAGAAGAACGTGTGAGGAAGCATCAGTCTGGCTGCCAGTTTGGCTTGTTCTACTGTGGGCTTTCGCTCAAACACGATCTCAGCATCAGCATCACTCTGCTCCGGAGTGCTCTTCTCTTCTGATTGAGAAAACAAACACATTACAGTTTATTAAAAACATCAGAGAATAATCATATTACGTTTTATTGATAAAATGACTGAACTTGCGCAGTTCATGTCTCACAATTCAGCGCTCATATCTCGAAGTTCAGCGTTCATATCTCGTAATTCAGCGCTCAAAAATCACAATTCAGTGTTCATATCTCACAATTCAGCGCTCATATCTCACAATTCAGTGTTCATATCTCACAATTCAGCGCTCATATCTCACAATTCAGTGTTCATATCTCACAATTCAGCGCACAAATCTCACAATTCAGTGTTCATATCTCACAATTCAGTGCTCAAATCGCGCATTTCAGTGTTTATCTGTGTTCAGTTAGTCTTGCAATTCAGGCAGAAACAAGCTTCTACACATTTGAAGGAAGCAATTTTTCAAATTTTAATTTTGAAAGTTCTGAAGAGCTCATATCTCGCAATTCAGCACTCAAATCATGCAATTGCGTTTATATCTCAATTCAGCGCTCAATTCTTGGGATTCAGTGCTCATATCTCGCAATTCAGCATTTATATCTCACAATTCAGTGCTCAAATTGTGCAATTCAGTGTTTCTACACATTTGAAGGAAAACAATTTTTACATTTTAATTTTGCCTGCCTCCTGACAAAAATGTTAATATTACTGTCACTGTAAGATATTTATAACAAAACAGAGGTCAAACATTTAATCTCAAGACTATGACTTTTCTAAATATGTATAGTTTTTTAAGATTAAATTAAGATTTATTACTTATTCTGTAAATAAAAATAAATGCACATTAACATGTTAATAGCCATATAAATGCATAAAAAGGACTGTACTGAACAGTCAATTAGAAATGAAAGCATGCATTCGTTCTCCGCAGATTAGAGACGCTCACCTCTTTCTGCTCCAGTGAATGAAGTGGCCACTGCTTCTTCAAAGCATTTCTTGAAAGCGTTTGCCGTCTCCTGCAGTTTAAACCGCGCTGCTAACGTCTGAACGCTGCCGTCTCCATCAGCAAAATCAAGAGCGCTCCATGTCCACGCTTTCTCGGACGCTTTCATCGGCTCCAGCTTCATGTTTGGAGTAATCCAGTGGTTTGCACATAACTTCAGGACCTGCTCTCTCCTCATCACGAGTCTTGCACGTCTGCTTTCATCGTTCTGAAGTATTTTAAGCTCACCTATGCCTCTTTCCTTCCACTGCTGTGATTCCTTGTCATAGCGGTATAGTTTGGCTTTGTGACTAAAAACGACTTGCTCATTGTCCTCTCCAGTCGAGATCTCAACTAGATCAGGTAACGGTATGACCGGCTCATAGTCCTCTTCGTCTTCATGTTTACATGTTTTTTCTTCATGATCTGAGCCAGAAGCCTCCACAGATGTGGATTTAAGGGGAACGTGCTGGAAACTGAAGGTAAATTCTGCCACTGATTCCCCAAAACGGAAAACATCCTTCTGGTCCTGCTGAGCAGAACCTTGAGAGGACTTTATCTGGACTTTTGCTGAAAAGTAATTTCAGAGATGGAACAAGTTATTTGAAGAAAGATTATAAGGACAAACACTTATTAATGAATCAGTAAAACCAGAAACATGTATTAAGAAAGTAAATAAGGTCAAATCTGATGTTATGTTGATATTAAAGGATTAGTTCAGTTCCAGAATAAAAATTTCCTGAGAATTTACTCCCCCCCATGTCATCCGAGATGTTCTTGTCTTTCTTTCTTCAGCCCCAAAGAAATTAAGTTTTTTGAGGAAAACATTCCAGGATTGTTCTCCATACAGTGGACTTCAATGGGGATCAATGGGTTGGAGGTTAAAATGCAGCTTTAATGCAGCTTCCAAGAGCTCTACACGATCCCAGCTGAGGATTAAGAGTCTTATCCAGCTTATCGATTGCTCATTTTCTTAAATATAATTAAAATGTGTATACTTTTTAACCTAAAATGCTTGTCTTGCTCTCGCTCGACCTCACTCATTACGAAGTCACGTTGGAAAGGTCACGCATGACGTAGGTGGAAGAAGATGTTACCGGGGTTATTATAATTAGCTAAAACTAAAACCATAAAAAAATATTTTGGTTACTTAAAAAAAAAACTTGAACTGAAGTAAAATATTTAAAAAATGTATTTTAGCTAGTTGCTAAGGTAACCATTCTCATTTAGTTATTGTATTAAAACAACTAAAGGTGAAATAAAATGAATAAATATTTTTATACACATTAAAAATAAAAACAAAATGACTAAAATTTTAACTTTAAATTAAAAATGGAAAATAGAAAAATAAAAAACAAATTCGATATTTTAATAAAAAAATAGAATAGTGCATCAACGATACTAAAATAATCTAACCTAATCTAGATGAGACACGAGAATGGAGTTTAATAGAGTCTTCTCACCTTCTCCAGATTTGATCTTGATCTCCATCTCTTTGGTGACGTGCAGCAAACGCTCTTGCATTTCAGAAAGCAGCAGCTCCACATTGCAAAAAAATGCTTTAGGATTTTCAGAAATGTTGTAAAGATCTTCAAATTCTTCACACATGGATTCTTCACAGTCAGTTGGATAATTCTACAGATTACAAATAATGCAGAATGAAGAAAATACGTTCCAAACTAAAATCTTCCGCACTGATTGGAAACTTTGTCAAAATCCTAAATTCAAACACACATTGAAAACTAAATATGATCAAGCATTTTTTTTTAATGAACCAAGGAGCAAGTGTTGTTCTTTTATAAACTGAAGACATTATCATTTTAATAGCTTCATCTCTTGATCTGCAAATGAGTTTTTGTTTGTTACTCTGAAGGTAAGTGTGTGTGATGCTGTACCTGCAGAAAGTGAATGTGGTCTTCAGTGGACAAGAACTGATCGAGCTCAGACACCTTCATCCTGAGGTCAGAGATCTTCTGCTGGACTTTCTCGTCTCTTTGGTGACGTGCAGCAAACGCTCTTGCATTTCAGAAAGCAGCAGCTCCACATTGCAAAAAAATGCTTTAGGATTTTCAGAAATGTTGGAAAGATCTTCAAATTCTTCACACATGGATTCTTCACAGTCAGTTGGATAATTCTACAGATTACAAATAATGCAGAATGAAGAAAATACGTTCCAAACTAAAATCTTCCGCATTGATTGGAAACTTTGTCAAAATCCTAAATTCAAAAACACATTGAAAACTAAATATGATCAAGCATTTTTTTAATGAACCAAGGAGCAAGTGTTGTTCTTTTATAAACTGAAGACATTATCATTTTAATAGCTTCATCTCTTGATCTGCAAATGAGTTTTTGTTTGTTACTCTGAAGGTAAGTGTGTGTGATGCTGTACCTGCAGAAAGTAATGTGGCTCCAAGAGTAAATTGTACACATGTTCAGTGGTCAAAAACCAAATGTGGTTCACTTTGCATTCAGCTGACATTTATTGTATTTAAAGAGGGAATCTAAATCAAATGGAGATATCTTTGATACTTGTTGAGTTACAGGCATGCAAACTTGGGAAAAGTCTGTTCTATGCAACTGTTTTGATAGAATGAAACAAGTTACATTTCTAGTTTCAACATTATTTGCTGTTCAGACGTTCCTCTTTAAAAGTATCAGTAAGTCGACCCACATTTGGTTTTTGACCTCTGGAAATGTCTACAATTTAACAATTTACTCAAGGAGCCACAACGTGGCCACATGAAAATCCCCATATATCTGGGAATGAACCATACAGGGCCTTAAATAAAGATGCAAAAAAAAAGAAGTTTGTTAAGAACAAAAATTTAAAAGGACATTGAGATGTATTTAAAGAGACAGTTCACCCAAAAATGAAAATTACCCCATGATTCACTCGCGCTCAAGCTGGAACGCCACTTTCTCGTGAACACGAGTATGATAGTTAGTGGAAGCTAGAGATTACAGTTTATAAAAATGTATATTTTTCTTACACAAACACTTCAGAAGGCATTTATTAACGCCCTGGAGCTGTGTGGAGCACTTTTTATGATGGACGGATGCACTTCATTTTGCTTCAAAATCTCTGCAACCATTCACTGCCAATATAAAGCTTGGAAGAGCCAGGACATTTTCAATATAACTTTTCAATATAATGTATTCATCTGAAAGAAGAAAGTCATATACACCTAGGATGGCTTGAGGGCGGGTGAATCATGGGGTAATTTTCATTTTTGGGTGAACTGTCTCTTTAAATACATCTCAATGTCCTTTTTTGTGCATCTTTATTTAAGGCCCTGTATGGTTCATTCCCAGATATATGGGGATTTTCATGTGGCCACGTTGTGGCTCCTTGAGTAAATTGTTAAATTGTAGACATTTCCAGAGGTCAAAAACTAAATGTGGGTCGACTTGCATACAGATGATACTTTTAAAGAGGAACGTTTGAACAGCAAATAATGTTGAAACTAGAAATGTAACTTGTTTCATTCTATCAAAACAGTTGCATAGAACAGACTTTTCCCAAGTTTGCATGCCTGTAACTCAACAAGTATCAAAGATATCTCCATTTGATTTAGATTCTCTCTTTAAATACAATAAATGTCAGCTGAATGCAAAGTGAACCACATTTGGTTTTCGACCACTGAACATGTGTACAATTTACTCTTGGAGCCACATTAAAATCCCTTCTATAGCTCTGGAAATGAACCATATGGCCCTTAAAAATCAAGTTACTAAAAGAACATAAAAAAGGATATTACGGTTTATTTAATACTTCTTGACTTACAGACACACGAACTTCAGGAAAACACAAAAAAAGTGCTTTTTTCCCATTTTTGAACTGTCACCATTCGCATATAACGCAGCAAAGATGATTAAAGCCAGCAGATTTTACTAATGGAGCTACCGAGCTCTGTGAAAAAAATAACATTATGATGCTGCAGTGATTCTAAAGTCATTTTTATTCTCCTGTAGTTTTGCTTTGAAGCTGAAAGTTGTAATTTTGACCCTCCTCTACAAAATAGTGCATCACTCAGTAAATATACATCTGTGACATTTAATATTTTGGCTTTCTACTTCACTAACATATTTCTTTCACCAAAAAGATATCAACAAAATGACAAATTTAAGCCAGGGATCTCTGGTTGAGGACATGTAATGACTGAGACCTCAGATATGATCAATCAGTGAGGATCTACCTGTCTGTCTGCTCTTTCCTCAGAAGCGGAGACGGTGTCGTGGTTCTTGTGTTCATGTATAGCACACAGCAGACAGACACACTTCTGATCAGTGCGACAGAAGACATCCATCAGTTTCTCATGAAGAGAGCAGGTTTTGCTCTGAAGATCCGTGGCTTCGGTCAGCAGGTGTTTCTTCCATCCGTGGAGATCATTGTGCTTCTCCAGGTGACTTCTGCAGAATGAGGACACACAGGTGAGGCAGGATTGCACAGCTTTGGTTCTTCTGGAGGTGCAGGAATCACAGCTGACTCCATGTGCTTCAGCATCTTCATCATCCTCCTCCTTTGCTCTCATCTTCATCAGTTTCTCAGAAAGCTCCTTCATCTGCAGCCAGTCAGTGACAACAGGTTTGTTGGGAAAGGTTTGTTTGCACTGAGGACATCTGCGCACGTCTTTATACCACAAACCTGTAATGCAGTCCTTACAGAAAATGTGCCCACAGGGAATAATGACTGGGTTTCTGAAGACATCCAGACAGACAGAACACCTGAGAGATTCCCGATCATATAAAGCTGCAGCTGCCATTTTTGCTGGATCCACAAACGAAACTTTGAGGGTAAGTTTTCGTTTCGTTTGTTTGGAATCGAGTGTGAGTCAACAGTGGGAATCTCTTTCACTTTAACACACTACTCTCTACTGTCGAGCTCTATAATAGAGATTTATTTTGCCCATGCGAATAACAAGCTGATATCTTGTTATTTATTTCTAGGCGAAGTATAGAATACACGTTATTAGTATGAAGCAATATCGAGTTATATGGTATATGAAAACGTCTTGTATGTGCAGTATGACAAATATCAATGTTTTTTCATCTGTTCATGTTTATGTTATTGTCCTCAGGATGCTTCAGTGTCGTGTGTTTCCACTAGATGGACCCATCGTCTTGAAGAAGCACTACAAAAGTTACATTTTAATATGCTGTGATGTCCTTTTGTTTTATTTTCATGCCGTTAATATTGTATCTCCTTATTTGGATTTACAGTGTTTGTTAAATGTCAAGAAAACCTACTGGATTGTTTTGTATTTTTGGAATTCAATTAAAAAGTAAAACAAGCATTCCTTCATATAAAGTCACTGATCAGAACCTGCGAGACAGGACTGAGGAATACAATCAAACATTAGTTCCTTCATGTATATGCTTTAACCGAACATAACAAGTACATCCAGTTTTTCACAACCAACTCTGAATGTTGTCTGAAAGTTAAAAACAAAGAGTTACATGATTTACAAGAGTTCTTTTTTATAACTGATGATCAACGCCAAAAAACAACAACTGACTCAACATTGCAAAACAACAAAGCATGAAAAATTATTTATATAATCACCATATA